CTTATTTAGATATACAGACCAGATCTCTGAGGAGCTCGGTGGAGCCCTCCTCGGCAACAGGCCACGCCCCCAGGAAGGAAAAGCTGACCATTTTTCATGAACACTCAAGAAAGAAGAATGCCTGACCCAGATTTCTTCTGTCTAGCACCTTTCAGATGTGCAGATGATGAACTGCTACTTTTTTTCACCCCCCCGCTAGATGGATATGTTGTCAGATATAGACCAATGCATGTGGAAAGCAACAAAATAGGAAAGATTAATCTAAGCAAATCATAATATATAAGATATAGATACAGATATAGACTATGTATTGACGTCTGTGTGATAGGCACATAGGCCATGCAGATAATAAATCTGAGATGCTGTAATTTTTCATGACACATTACACATACACAAGGATGTTGTGTGTTTGCCTTTTGCAACATCTCTTGCTGGCTTTTCCATTGACATTTCCTGTAGAAGGAAGCAAAAAAAGTCACAAATAGCACCATCCCAGATGTGATGGTGTATGATCCCATGGGATGCTGTATCCAACATAAATACGAAGGTTGATCATAATCGCTTGTTCAGTATTGTTCGAACAGTTGCTGAATGAGAAGTCGTTAAGTGAAGATCACCTGTATAAAAATAATGGTACCTGGAAAACATGCTACTTACTTTTGGGGTAAACAATATGTAGCAATGTGAAGTAGTAGGAGGAGAAATAACACTATATGGTGCTACCTTCCTGTTATTTTAAACCATCCTTGGCTCCATCATTTCCATATGCTTACGTATACATTGCTTTTAGTTCTTTACATTTTTAATATCTTCCCGCTCTTCCTCTCTCTCTCTCAGGAGACCTATACTCACTTAACCACCATACCACACTGCTGTGTATATTTATGTTAGTGGTTAGTGATGCTGGACTAGGAGTGGGGATATCCAGTTGTTAATCCTGTGAAAGGTAGCTCAATCATTTTGGGCCAGTGACTCTGTCTTACTCTTAGACTGGAAAACTGATAAGTATCTATCTACACCACATTGGAATGGCATAGTCAATTAAAGTCCATAACCTTCAGTGAAGAGAGACTTTTATCCTATAGGGAATGATCTTAATTAATTGTCATTATAAAACATCCCATATTTCATTCATATTGGTTACTAATATTGTATATGGTCCACATTCATTCATTCATCACACATTCATTCTTGTTTTGCCATGCATTCTTTTTAAGGGCCCCAACTTCTACCACCTTCGGTTTATGTTTTATATATTTATGAGATACCTAACCATCAGTTCCCTATGACAAAGTGGGCAGAAGTATTCCCTTGTACAAAGACATTTTCATTTGTCTTGACAAGCATTCATCTTTTGCAACAAACCTCATATTATCCACTATCTATGACATTTGCACATCTTGAAATTTCTTCACCCATTTTCATCTCTTTAATAAATACTCCACTGAAGTACATAAATTCACTCTCTTGTTTGTTTCCTACCATTTATATATATAATAGCTTCCCATTGTCCCTTGTACTTTTTCTGTTAAAAATACAACTGTTTCATTATTCTGCTTCTAGTTGCTTTGAATCCTTTGAACCTGATGTCTGATGGTGAAGAATCAGTGCTTTGCCTCTTTACACTGGATTCCTGATGTAGACGAGCAATTAAGATGTTTCTTCCAAAATTCTCATTTTTCTATGGATTTTTAACTATTTAATTTGGGATCCATCTTTAGGGTCTAAGAGACATATTTGAGGTCCTCTTAAAAAAATATACCTGGGCAACCTTTGAAATACTGTTGAAGTGCAAGTCTGCATCACCATTGACCATACTGGTTTAAACTCACCAAAATTGAAGTTCAGTAACTTTGAAGGGCATCACATTACTAGTTCTTGATTTGAAGCAATGAAACTCTGATAATTGTGACTGCTGAACAGGATTCATTTCTCAAATGTTCTGATGTTAATTAAATGCTAGAGCAATAGCATGCTATAACAATGCATCTGGGGATGTCTGAATTTAATGTCTGAATAGATTTTAAAACAATTGTTGAGTGAAAGTTTTTGGATTTAAAATGGTGCTTGTCCTATTGTATTCAATAATATAAAGCACATTCAGCTTATTTCATTGTGCATTTTAGACATAGTGGTTCCCTTTGGGGCCAATTGTTTGTTCCATCTAAGTATAAAGTGTAATAAACCTTCCTGAGGATAAATCTTTGCCTTGTCTCTTTCAGTCTGTTATTTATTGAACAACGACTTCAGTCCCGATCTATGCAATGAAGATGGATTAACTGCACTGCATCAAGTAAGCATTTTGGAAAGCAGAAATGTGACATCATTCAGGGAGAAAGGAAGAAAAATAGTTGTATATCAGGATTTCTGTGTTGCTAGTGTAGGGATTTAGGGACAGTAGGAAATAGTTGGCTGCAATACACAAAAATAGTTACTATCTTAAAGAAAACATTCAGTTGAGCTCTTTGTGAAATAGGGTTAGACAAAATCATATTTTCCCTGCTATCCATTGGGAAAGCTGGTAGTATGTAACTATTGTTTTCTGTTATACAAAATCTGTTTGGAACAGAAGTTGCATTTTTATTTTGAATTCTGTTAATTGATTTTGATGCCTGATTCAAGTTAAGAAAATGACATGGGTGGTAGTGGTAGTAGGAATTAATTATCCTCCTTCAATTCTAAATCCCTGAACCCACCATACTTGCATTTATTCAGATAAAAAGCTGTTGGCTGCAACAGCTCTTCTAGTCTAGTCACTCTAGACTAGACAGTATTGTATTTTTTTTTAATTTAGGTGGAAGAAGAAGTTATCCATCAGCAGATAAAAATGCAAGAGAGTTAAAAGATAAGCAGCAAGAGATCTCTGGAAGTAAGCATGCATGTTAGGGATCTTGCAAAGTAAGAAGTAAACATAATAGATCAATTGTAATAATTATACTACAAGTGTTTTTTTTACTGATTTTTCCTATTTATCAAGTACTCTGTATTTTGCTTAAGGATAAAATGGGTGAGAATAATTCTTGGATTTTATATTTTTAAAAACAAGAACTCTGCCATTGTTTTCACATCCTCACAAAACTAAATGAAGTCTTGAATACAAGCCAAAATTATCAGTACACCAGTCTTCAGTCTCCTTCCGTGTTCCATCTTGATTTTATGAGTTCAGTATTAAGTCATCTCCTTAATTTCCTTTCTCCAGTCCCCATGCTTTTGTTTTAATGTTTTACTTACCAAAATTTAAGAACTCAAGAATTTGCACATCAGTCTAATAAAGATATTACCAAATTCATATTTCAGAATGTGCTCATATTGTCAACATAGCTTATTCAACTATTTGCTTTTTTATTCTTTTTCCTGTTGCTATATTATCTCTCTTGCTTTAATTAGCATATAATCCAGAGCAGTGGATGATTTTGAAACATAGTAATTAAATAAAATAACAAATGTAATCATATAAAATATTGCACATTAGAAGGCAGGTTTTTTAGGCAGGTTGAAGTCTGTCTCTTTTTCCATTCCACAAACACACACACACACACACACACACACACACANAAAAAAATAGGCAACTAAAGTTCTCAGGATTTTCTTCCATCTGACATTGAATTTGGCTTTCTTTATACACTTGAAGTCCCTTTTGATATACTGCTATCACCTTGTCGCAAAATCTTGACAAATGGTCTTGAAATGCAGCCGGAAAGCAAAGCAATACTATGGTAAAGCCAGCAAGAATGCAAACCTATTTACACCTACCTGCACAGTTATCTTCTCCGTCTACTGGAAAGTATCCTAAATTGGCTCTGAAATGTACAGGGCTTTCTGTGCCCTCATAGGTTTTGTAAGAATGCATTAAAATAAAATATAAATGGAATTCAATGAATCAACAACTTCATCATGATTAGCAATTTATATTTCAGAAAAGCTTCTCAGCCTTTTTGGCCAAGATCAAATGTGAAAATGTTTTGAAACAGTTTTTAAAGGCTACTGCTATTTTCTGGTAATTTGTTCAGATATTCCTTTCTCTACCATTGCCCAGAGCCATATTTAGTCCTGGGGATTATGAATAACATTCCCAATATATGTACGTAGACTTCAAACAGTGCACTGAATCAAAATGTGCTTTGTTTGGTTTTGGCATAAAATGTTGTATGAACTCAGCCACTGTTTATTGAGGAAATCATAGTTCAGTAGGAAAACACAATTTTGTTTTTTCTTCCTAAGTAATTGTCTAAAACAGGTAGCCCTCAACTTGTGACCGGTTGCGTAGTGACCATTCAAAGTTATGATAGACCCTGAAAAAGAGACTTACAACCTGGTTTCAAAGGTCAAATATCCATTCCTCCCACAATAATCTGACCATATTTCAGCACTCAGTAACCAGACCACATTTATGGCTGTTTGAAATGACTTTTGATCATGTGACTATGATTTATGACATTTTTTCTGGAAACCAGGTTTCCTCCAAAAATCACCCCAGTCAGCAATGGGTTTGCTGAACAACCACAGTGTTTGCTTCACAACTGCTGCATTCGCTTTATGACCATCCCAAAATTGAATCCAATCACAATGTGACCCACTTTATAATTATCATGATTTAAGATTGTAATTGCAGGGCTCGAGTATCGTCATAACTAAAGAGCTACCTGTGTATTCTGGGAAGGTAGACATATACTAACAGAATAGCAGAATAACAGAGTTGGAAGGGACATTAGAGGTCTTCTAGTCCAGCCTCCTGCTCAAGCAGGAAACCCAATACCATTTCAGACCAATGGTTATCCAATTTCTTCTTAAAATCCTCCAGTGTTGGGGCACTCACAACCTTTGGAGGCAAGCTGATTGATTGTTCTGTCAAGAAAATTCTCCTTAGTTTAAGCTTGGTTCTGTTCTTGATTAGTTTCCATCCATAGCTTCTTGTCCTTCCTTCGGATGCTTTGGAAAATAAGTCAACCCCCTCTTTTTTTTTGGCAACCCCTTGTAGCACAATAGTAGTACAAAGATTTCTGCATCTATTTCTATTTTTTGTAGTATAGACAAAGGATGTTGTATGGTCATCGTCAGCAGCTATATTGTAATAAATGAATGAACTATTTGTATGAAGAAGCAAAAAGAGGTGTGAATAGATCAAGTTTTCTTCCTTATGGCTTCTATGCATCTTGCCCAACACAATACCATCCAATATAATTAATTAGTGATTATATAAAACAAAAAAGTATCTTTTCATAAATATGCAGTCAATGCCAAATTCACTTCCAGAATATGTGGGGGATGATCGCTAGCATATATGGCTATTTGATCGGATTAGGCATATTAATGGAGGAAAAAGCCACTAAATTGTTCTAAGAAATGGACCTCAATCAAGAACAAAATGCAAATATTGGGAATAAGAAAGCAAAATATTTGCCTCTATCCATGTGTTTTCTTCTGGATTAAACCAGTTTGCATTGTGGCCTGTTCAGCAAATTAGGTACACAGTAATATTACTTAAAATTTGTGGAGGCAAGTGTATACCTAAGGGCTAAAGAATATGAGGTAGAGGAAAGAACATAACAGGCAAGTTTATTTTTATTTTCTGAAATATACTGTAAAATAAAAGGGAAGCAAAAAGAACTGATAAAATTTAATTTTCATGTAGAAACACGGCTATATCACTGGAAGCAGACCCAATTTGATTACAGATACCCATGTCATTAGTCCACAATGGCTTTTAAATGAGCCAGATTGAATTAAGAATCCTAATGGAAGTTGTATTGAGAGTAAACCAGAAAAGCCAGAGTCACTGGTGGATGACACATTTATTAATCAGTTCCTCCAAGAACAGCAGGAGAAACACATACACTTTCTGGGTCGCACAAAATGCCTTTTTGGATGAGTTGAAAAATATATAAAATGTATTGCTCAGGTGAGAAAGGAAAGGAGGTGGGGATAATCATAAGGAAAAATGAAAGTCTATAGTCGTATATGTTTGCAAATACTATTGGTTATTTAGGGAAGATTTAAAGTTTTCCCTAAAAAGAATTTACAAGAGTATTTCCCAAATCTTAGTTCTCTCTCTCTCTCCTCTCTCTGTTATAATGATGGTGTTTTAAATAGAATTAACAAAAGCTGACCATTTTTTTTTTGTTTTTTTTTTTTTTCGTTTATAAAATATTTTATTCAATTTTCACATTCCATTTGCAATCATTTATATACAGGGTATTTACTANGGTATCCCGAAGGTGCCAAGCCGCAGGAACCTGGGGCAGAGGCAAAGCTGATCATGTTGCTTGGCACCTTCGGGATACCGCTAGGTTGGTGAGCAGCACTGTGCCCAGCTGAAGAAGCCAAAGAGCCGGGCACAGCCTCATGGGCGAATGGCTGTGTTGCGCTGTCGCAGCAGTGCAACACAACAGCCATGAAGCGAACATGCTCACGAGCAGCCACCCAGCAAACCCCCTTTGTAGCTGGGCACAGCACCATTCACTGATCTAGGGGCATCGCCAAGCCGCGTGAGTGCCTGTTCACTGCTGCCCAGCTCCCATGGCTTGGTGCCTTTCAAATGCCAGTGAATGGTGCTCTGCACAGCTGGAGAGGGGAGTTGCATAAGCATCTGTTCCGCTCTTGCTCACCCACCTCCCAATGCATGGCCCAGCTCTCATTACGCTCTATGGTTGTACGCTCTGCAGGCAGTTGGTCCACAACCATAGAGCGTGCGCCCAGAGCGGCCACTGCTGAAAGACTCAGGTTGGAAGCCACGGAAAAAGCCAGGGCCTGGATGGCAGCAGTGGGGGAGGTGCCCTGGCTCTGTAATGAGAGCTGGGCCATGCATTGGGAGGTGGGTGAATGAGAGCGGAACAGCCACTCACGCAACCCCCCCTCTCCAGCAATGCAGAGCGCCATTCACTGGCATTTGGAAGGGGCCAAGTCACAGGAGCCGGGCAGCAGCGAACAAGCGCTCACACAGCTTGGTGATACCCCTAGGTCAGTGAATGGGCTGTGCCGGGCTGCAAAGGGGGGTTTCCAGGTGGCTGCTCATGAGCGTGGTCGTTTCATGGCTGTTGTGTTGTGCTGCTGCGACAGCGCAACACAGCCATTCGCCCATGAGGCTGTGCCCGGCTCTTTGGGAGCCCACTCGCAAGAGAGCAGCTGCCCAGCAATCCCAAAACAATAAACCCACCCCCCATAATAAAGCCCAAACCATATTTTATAGGTAAAAAAAAATAAGACCCTGTCATATTTTCGGGGAAACACGGTATCCTAAGAATGTGCTCATTATTTTAGAAAGCCAAGGGGATTGGCCAATTCTAATTTTTGAGACTCAATAAATAATAAAAATAAACAAGTAAGATACCTGAAAACAAAATAATTGAGAAAAACACAGGGTTATTATAGTATTAAAAAAATACAAAAAAATATAATTTGAGTCTCATTTCTTTTCTGATTGTATTTGAGAAAGTACCTAAAAATGCATTTTCAAAAAATGATTTCCTCTCTGTATGAGAAAAGCTGTCCACAAAAAGGCCATAGTTAAATATCTGTGCATCTATTTAGGTGTGTATGTCTATGTGTGTGTGTCCATGTATGTGAATTTACATAAGTGTGTAAAAACACATGCACACATCCTTTTAGTCTTTAAAAGTCACAAAGTTATGATAGCATGACATAGGA